AGCTGGCGAAGAACATCCTCGAAAGAAATCGGTGCGGAATATTCGCCGTTTTGGACTTCACACCGTTCTTCCTCTTCTAGTGAGCTTATCTTCACAGCACTAAATCCTAAACTACGTAACTTTGAGACTTGGTCATCCATAAGGCTTATTAGCGACCTTTATATACGACGACGAGTACGAGTACGAGTAACACTAAATCGATATCGTAGTCGATTTCCGATTTTTTACAATCTAAAGTTTCAATTTATTTCATATACGTTCAAAGACTACAAAGAGATAGTGCCAATCTTTAAAAGTTTTAACTCGGACTCGTTCTCGTACTCGTCGTGGGATCTAAAGGTCTCAATTAAAGGAGACACAACAACCACGATGTGACCAGACTCTAGTGTATATTTGTAGTCAAATACGAGAGGCAGAGCTTGGTAAATTAGAGATTTGCCAAACCCTGTTGGAAGATTGACAAAAATATCTTTTTTCTCTTCGACTAAAATTTTGATAGCCGACTTCTGATGCGCATTTAGATCAGGAATACCGAACTTTGAAGACACGAGGCCAAACAATGTATACTATGAACGAGTTGAGAATGCGAAATAAAAGCTGCACGGTGATTGGTCAGATCAAAAGTCCGCGAACGGTTCTCTAAATATGTAACCCGTCTTGTGATTGGCCAAACAATGAGAAAGGAATGTAGTTCGAATGCAAGCAGCCGTTTGTGGGGAGGGAGCGTTGCGTGACGACCGACACTAAAAACGGTTGCGAGGGAGACTAGTCTCTCCCCTGATGCTTCCAAACTAGAATATTGTCTTGCGTAATTCACACATTCGTGAGCGGATCGACCTTCTAAATCAGCTCCGAAGTCCAAACCACGCTTCAGCTTCTTATTATAGCATTGTAATTCCAAATCATAATATTAGCACCCTCTGTGATAGCAATCAGCAATTATTTGACTTCCAAGTCAATGATTGCTTATTAACACTGAATAATCAATAAAAAGTTAAGAATATTTTCTGATGTTTAGTAAAACTAAAGCTATTATTTTGCTATTCTCACAAATTTCATTTGGTATTTATAATTTATTATAATGTTTTTTCTTGACATTTAAGGTGTTATTTGTTAATAACTATTAATTTTCATTACTATTGTGGTTCATCATTTATTAATTGTTAATCATTATTTTATGACTATTGGATATTATCAATGGAGATATTATGACTTTATTACGATCTGTTCTAACGATAAGTAAGCCACCTCGATCATCAGTATGAAACTGGATAGTTAACGATGCACACAGGTTGTCAAGACTTGATCTGTTCTAACGATAAGTAAGCCACGTACATGTAGATCATCAGTATGATACTGGATAGTTAACAATGTACACAGGTTGTCAAGACTTGATCTGTTCTAACGATAAGTAAGCCACCTACATGTAGATTATCAGTATGATACCGGATAGTTAACAATGCACACAGGTTGTCAAGACTTACAGTTAACCGTGATGGACGCTTTTGAAGAATTAACACTTCCAATTTTATTAKTCGCAKTGCACCAGTATTCTCCCTCGTCAACTCGTTTGATGTTATTGAACGTCAAACTGGTGGATGCAGTTGTGTCATTAACCTTACGATAGGTAATGACAATCAGACCTTCTGTAGGTATGGGTATTTCAATTCCATCTTTCATCCACCACACGGTGGGGACTAATGATGGTTCATTGTTTTTCAAGACAGGCAGCGGTTTTCCTTCGAATAAACACGTCAGTGTATGATTGCTACCTTCCTTCAAGGTTGTTGACTTGGGACTTTGAAGGAACCTTGGTGAATCTGTTTGTTTTTAAGTAACAAAAAGACACCAAGAAGTATGACAAATGATGCAATACACAATACTAGAAAATGCTGCGAAATCCCATGGAATATCCACACAAAATAAAGGAAACAACAAGAGAAATTTTAAGTTTTACACCGCAATAACCGATCTTAAAAATAAAACGAAAGTACTCAGTGAGAATAGTTGAGTAGCGAAGCAGAAACGTGGAACAAAATAAGACAAACTCATACTTAGTCTTCCTAAGTCATGCTAAGCTCAAAAAGGCTGACGGGAACGATGCAATAATCAAGGCTTTACATACTGTACTTACAGTTGACAATAAGCTGTGCTGATGATGATACAACACTACCGACTTTGTTGGTTGCATTGCAGCTAAAGTTTCCTTCGTCACTTCGTACCACACCAGTTATCGTCAAAATCCTACCATCACCAGAGACATTGAACTTTGAATGTGCTGTCGTGTTTAGTGTAGCGTTGTTTTTCAGCCACTGAATGGACGGTGAAGGCTTCCCACCAACAGCACAGGTAAATGTTATATTATCGTTTTCCGTCACTTCTTTTGTTCCATTTGGTTGAATGATAAATTCTGGTGGATCTGTTTTAGTGGGTATGTACCGCAAATAATACGAATTTTCCATAAGACACTGCATAGATGTTAGAAGTTCTAGTTAAGTTTTTTTACAATTCATATTAGTTTTTGATGCGGCTAAAAGGTTATGGATCAGGCGAAGTACAATGCAAATTAATATTACACTAAC